ATATATATATATATATATATATATATATATATAGGCGATGTGTCTGAATGGTAACGAACTCAACTGATAAAAGACAAAGTCTGCCATTCTCCAATTGTCGTACAACTCTCCCGACAAAAACACTTGTTGCAAATCAACAGCTTAGCTGTATCGGCCCTGACAGCATCAGGGGTAAAAACATGCAATAAACACCGTAGATCAAAAAAACAAACACATACACGAACGCGGTCTCACGCAGTCATTGGGTCTCACAGCTTGGCAGGTCTGCCTTGCCTTCTAAAAGTGCTATAATGAATAATTAAGAAGCAGGGTCTTCTCATAAGATAAGAAAACTCTGCAATTAATAATAAAGAGAAACCAACGAGTCATCACTCCACTAGCGGATTGCTACGTCACCGATTTTGATCCCGCCCCAAACATTATTTTAAACCTAAAAGACTGCAAAAGATCAAAATTGTCCAGTTTTCCCCTTAATTAAAGCTGACAAGTGCTAATGTCGTCTTAACTGATGCTCAACAAACACAAATATGTAAATTATTATTTTTTAAGTATTCCAGGGTGTTTTGAACATTTAAAGCTTATATAATAATCACACTAAAACAAAATAGCAACTTTCATATATAAATAAATAAATAATAGAAAAATCAAACAAAGCAGTCTAAGCATTTTTCCAAATTACAGCATGCACAAAACAGAAAAAGCTCAAACCTCTTTTAAATACAGCACTAATGCCATCCCACGACACATAGCGCAGGTGAAAATGTCATGATGAACTTTGCAGCGCTTAGTTTGTTCACAATGCCGGGCACCTTGCAGCTTGATCCGTCCGCTTTCACACCATACCTGCTAATTACATCTCTTCCTCTACACGAGAGCAGCCTGCTGGGCTTCACCACATCATAACTCTGCATCTGCTGGCCGTATGTTCTCCTGAGCATCTCAGATAACTCCACCACGTGTTACATTTAGTCATGCATTTCACATACAAACATGTGTTGGCTGTGTACAGAAAGAGCCTGGGAAGAGGTTTAAGCTAAACGTACATATCGATTCTTAAAGCTACTGACAATTCAAGTCAAATGCTTCCTGTAAATATTGAGGTGAAAATGGAGGTTACATTTTAAGACATGTTCCAAAAATTATATTTATTTTTCTAGAAAAAGAGAGGCTATCCCATATTGCATCCATGATGACATTTTGCTTTAGTAGAACATGAAATTAGATTTTTGAAAAAGTGGTGATCCTGGCAATCTATAAATTGCGAATCGACAGCAACTGGCATCTTAAAAAGTTAAAAAAAGAAGACCTAAGGTTCCTTTTGATAAATCTTTTTTTTAATATATATATATATATATATATATATATATATATATATATATATATATATATATATATATATATATATATATATATATATTAGGGATGTAACGGTATCAGAATTTCACGGTACGGTAATACCTCGGTATGAATGTCACGGTACGGTATTTATTGAATCATTTACAGGAAAAAAAAAAAACTTTTGAAAATACTCCAAAAAAGTGCCAAAAGTGTCAATGACATACAAATTAGCCATCTATCTGTTAGCTTTGAAACAGGAACTTCAATTTTAATAACAAAAAATTATTAAACCATGTAAAAAAAAATAAAGTTTCAATTTAGTATTGTTAAAAACTCATCACATTTAACATTTAATCACTCACTTAGATAGAGATCGGTTTAAAGGAAAATTATCATATAACTATAATCTGGTAAAAGCTGGTATCTCTGGGTATTTACAATGTCCCCTGCAACAGAAAAAACCCCTCACATTTGGGACTGAGGATTCTGGGACAAGAGAGATATGACTTGGCCCATGTTGACAGCAGTGGGGTAACGTTGTGCATTGTCTTTCCCCCACTTGAGAGGACAAACCATGAGTGAGATAGAGATCTCTTTGCGGTACAAGTCAATGTCTGCATCAATCTGAACAGTGTGCTGTGTTTCTGCAGTCCCCATGACTGTTATTAGTCGTATTCCCCAACTTGCAGGCACGTGCACACATAGGGCTCAACCTGTGCAGTGTACATGCCCTTTTTAGTCTTGGATGGAAAATGCCCTTCCAAAACGATCAAAAATGCCCCCGCGACGCGACACAACCTCCGTCCAGTCCAGCCCTTCAGTAGGCGCGCGATAACACCTCTCTTGAGTATGCGCGCTCAACCCCCCCTCGGCGCTTTACAATACGCGCGCCACAACACAGCTGATCAGAACGCGCGCGACAGCACCGCTATTCAGCACGCGCGCGGCGACAACACCCGCTTTAGGTTCGATCATTTCCATCTTTTTTTCATCTCCGCTACCAGCAGCACACTCCATTTCCGCATTACTGGATCTGTAGCGACAACAGATCGCAAAGGATTATGGCCACGCCGGGGCTGATGGGAAATGAAGTTTCAGCTACCTCCCGTTCGCTTCATTCGCCTGAGCAAATTTTCTCAGAAGACCTATAGTTTTACCGAGTCATGCGACTTCGGTAATATCGAAAAAATTTAATATTGCGGTATGACGGTATTTACAATACCGTTACATCCCTAATATATATATATATATATATATATATATATATATATATATATATATATATATATATATACATATATATATAAAGCCAATTGCTTTTTTTATCAATGCTTGGCATGTTGCAACTTACATTAAAAACTGTAAAATTACATTCACATGGACAATTTTAATTGGGAAGATTGTCTTTTAACAGGTTTTAATTATTGAGATTATTATGCAACTGTTTACACTTAAATCTCCAGTAGTTGCTGACTCGTATTTCATGAATCACCAAGCACCATGGCTTCTAAATATATATAAGTAAATAAACAGTATACATTTTTAATATATATTTTATAAAATAAAATCCTTCATAAAATCAAAAGAAGCAAAAAAGTCTACTTCTATAAGTAAATTAACAGCATATTTCATTTTTCAATCCCTCAACAAGCAGACTGGGGCTTATTAATTATGGCACAAGTAAGTTTTATAAGTTTTAAATAATAAATATAAGATTAAGTTTTGAACAGTTTGTAGCCATTTTAATAGGATTTTTTGCAGGAATAAGCTTGCCAGTCATACTGTGGATGGTTCATGAACCTATAGACTTATGCAACTACACAAAATATCCAAGAATTCTAAACGGGTATGGTAAAATACACAGGCTAAACATCTGTTATCAACCTAATGTGCATCTTTTAAACTTCAGTTACACTAAAGAAATGTCTATTCCAGAAATGTGAAGTTGAGATATATTTATAAATGTGATATTGTCCATGAGTAAAACCATTTCAACCATGTCAGGAATTCAAAGTAAGTAGGAATTTGTCAGAAGGATTTTCAAGGGAAGGGAAATAGTTGTATCCAATCAAGTCGTAAAATAACAATATTGTTTTCCATCCACACAATATATTTAAAATATTTTATACAAACAGCTAATTACAAATGGTATGTAATGAGATGTTTGCATGTCATCGTTTTCAAGACTGGAAATTGTTGATGCATCCTCGTCATTATTTTACACAAACAAAACAGTGTTTTGCAACCTGTAAATGACTTTCAAATAGCAAACCACAAAAACAGAAATTTGTGAAAACACTGATGTCATTTGGATGTGTACAATTTGTTTAGTCTACAGGCATGAGCAAGTAATTGACAATGATAAAAAACCAATAGAACACTACAGAACAATATGTGTGCATCAACTGTATACAGTGGTCACTTTACAAAGTGACATAAGCAAGTACTGGCCTACATGAATAAAACAACTTATAGGTCATGTTCACCAATTAATATGAACAGGGATCTTTTTGACACTTAAAAAAATGTTTTTATTGCATTGTTGTTGTGTAAACATTCTGAAAACCACTCATTACCATTCACAACTAATGTGTCTAAAGATACAAATTAAGTTACACATCAAAATCCCTTTTTCATTATCACAACATGAACATCATCTCCAATATGGAGTTTCCCCACTGATAAATGCAACTTCCCTTAATCATTCAAGAGCTGATAACTCATAAATAAGGCATTTCCAACTCCACTTGAAGGCTGAACTGAACACAGCTGATGCAACGGTGAGTACATGTTTCGTTTACAAATATAATTAATACTATAAAGTAACACGAAGAATGATTTAATAAGTAAAAAGTCAATATTTTGACTCAAATGTCTGCATGCTCCTCTGGCGTCTAAACTGAAATCAATCATATGTCTTGCATACTTGCATGTAGAGAATAATCTAATACTTAACTATTGACTAAACCATGAATTCGAATTCTCAATTGTACAATATTGTATAATCTGCTCAATGTTTGGAGGCATGCCATATTTCTAGAATTGAATCATTTACTAGACATTATTTTGCCAAAACAAAAATTGAATTACATTTCCTCTCACTGGCTCATTGAAAATATGTGCTTCAGTGTATATTTTTGTAAAACTGCAAAAATTTTACTTAAAATACCTTTGACTGCTAATTCTAGGTAAAATGAACACTACTGGGCAGAATGACAACAACAACATTTGCTCCTTTTCACATATTATTAATGAATAAATGATTATTGATGTGCAGTTCTTTGCACAACAACAAACAAATACCACAAAATAACGACGTATCTGATTTGTAATCAATTATGTTTGCCTCACCTATCTACCTGTTTATATGGACAACTTTTCTACCATGGTCAGTTCGCTCTGAAGCTTTCTTTGTACAGTGTTGTAATTGTGATGCAAATAAAAACTCAATGCCAGCGATGCACGATTCCACAAATAAAAGCAATGGAAAATCAAGGTAAAACTATATGGTCAGAGTTTCAGGTCAGTTTGGGTGATCTGTTTGACAAGTGACACCTTCTTTTAGATGTGTACAACTAAACAACAAAACAAAACCTAAGTTAAGTGTTTCCCAGCAAGCACCTTGATGTCAAAATGACATTAAAAACACATCAAAAACTAAATTTGTTTTGATGTCAAAAACTAGATGACATCCAGACATTGATGCATTTTTGACCTGCGAAACACATGACACAAAAAGCATTATAACATTAGGAATGTTTTATTCATCTTTAGAGGACTGGAATCAGAAACTATGGGATTAGATGACAATCCTGCTATTTATATTGGGCTTGGATTTCGAGGCCAATGTTTGCTCTCATTTTTATGTCATTTTGACATCAGGGTAGATAATTAACATTAATTTACATTTTTTACATGTTTATTGATGTCTTTTTGATATCCAGGCGCTTCCGGGGAAATGCTTGCAAAAATGCAAACAAAGTAATGTGCATTTATATAGCCAAAGCACTTCACACTCATGATGGGGGTCTCTCCACATCACCACCAGTGTGCAGCATCCACTTGGATGATGCAACGGCAGCCACAGGACAACGGCACTAGCGTGCTTACCATCCACCAGCTATATATAGGGGAAGTAGAGAGACAGTGATACAGCCAATTCTGTGAATGTGGATCATTAGGAGGTCATGATGGATAAGAGCCAATGGAGGGAATATGGCCAGGTCACCGGGGTTACACCCCTGCTAATTACATGAAGTGTCATGGGATTTTAATGACCACAGAGAGTCAGGACCTCAGTTTTAACGACTCATCTGAAACACGGCGCTCACTGACAGTATGGTGTCCCCTTCTTTTTACAGGGGCATTAGAACTCACAAAGACCACAGGTCGAGCAGCCCCCCTGCTGGCCTCACTAACACCACTTCCAACAGCAACCTAGCTTTCCCTTGTGGTTTCCTTTCTAGGTACTGACCAGGCTCAGCCCTGCTCTACTGAAACGTGCAACAAAACAAACCCAGAGCAACATATTGCTTGCTTCGCTAAAATGTAGCATGATCCAATGAGCTTGTGATGTACATTTCCCTTTGATATCGGGTCATTGGTTTCTAACACAACTCTAGCTGCCTCTTTATAAATCAGACAAAAAAACATGTTTTAGAACAGAACTTCTGCTTCATGTTGTTACAACCAACCTCGCCACGCGAGAGCTTGACATCCATAACCAAACCCATCCGGCTGTCCAAAGCGCTCTTTGTCAACTAATGAGTCTTTCCAGGCTCGGTTCAGTGCACATCTGTCCAAAAGCATACGAGCCCTAATTCTCCCCCTCCCTCTGTCTTTATGAGCTCGGTGCAGTGCCGGAATGTGATTAGTTATATGTTGCATCGGGCTCCGTCTCCAGCTTTGTCACCAGCGAATTCTAATCAGCGAGGCAAATCAGCGCGGATTGAGCCGAGATGGAGAGGAAATATGATTTTAATCAGCATGCAGCACTCGTGCTCCTGTCTGTCTCATTCACAACGCATTCAGAGACGGAGAAACCATGGAGCAATCAGCCAGACCTCCGCTGCGTCCTATCGAGAAGGACGTGCTTTAATTACCACCAACCACGACTACCTCTCTCTCTGTTTCTCTCCCTCTCTCACTTCCCTAAAATGAATAATTGCAATAATGAGCCATTTTCATCTAACTCTCCTTCACCAAAAGATGACAAAAATTACTCATCTTGTTAAAAACCCATATCTACCGCAACGTGCGTGTGGGATAAGGGAATATGATGTTGTTCTGTGCGCAGGCTGTGTACTGTAGGCACATTTGGCCCTAATGAATAATTAGCAGTGTGTTTTAGCTGAGTCACTGCGCTGGAGGGCCTGCACTGGACTCTAATGGAGGTGTTGCCTCACGTCTTCCATCACAGGACTGTCCCCAGTGAGCCAATTGCATAGCAGCCTGTGTGAGGCACGGTGTGTGTGTGTGTGTGTGCGCGTGTGTGTTAAAAATAACAGCTCTCCCACTTCATGACTCATTCTATGAGCTCTCTGTCCGACACTCCCAAACAGTGTCTGGAAAGAAACCCTAGAGCCAGCACCTTCATTTACTGACTGGTCATTCCTTACTGTCTCTATGCGTGTGTGCTGCTATACGTTTTATATAAATATCTTCATAGCTGGTCGGTATGTGCAAGATTTGCTGCTCCGCTGAAGCCCTGTTATATGATGTTGTTATGTAACTTTTCACAGGGCTGGTCGACAATGACAAGCGAAGGTGAGAACGACAGATGGAACACAGATGCCACCAGTGCGTGCATGATTTAGAGAACGGACAAACTGTGGGAGACGAGCAAAACTGCTAAAATTCATGATTTCGGAGCTGTTTACAAATCTGCAGAGGAGAGTTGTTGATCCTTGATGTCATTTACCAGGCATGCATTGCAAAAAAAAAAAAAAATCTTAAAAATATAATGAAACGGTTGTAGTTTACTGAATCTGGATGATTGATATAGGAAAAAATGGTTCTGATTATCAGTTGCTGATTGAATGGAGAAGTCGGTTATGTTGTGACATTTAAGGCTTGTTTACATCTGGTAATAAGTAGTGGTTTTATCAATTCAATTGCATACAAGCAATACTAAATACAGATGTAAATGGAGTCTAAAACATTTTATGCTTGTCAGCTTTGCTTCTGTAGTGTAAATGCTCAGGTAATCAGATGTGCTGGAACAGTCACAAAAGTCTGTCTATTCTCCATCTACAGACAAAACACGTGATCGTTATGGGATTTGTTGTGGGATGTGACACTAATATATATTCATACTCTGACAAAAAATACGAGCTTACATTTTTAAAAATAAATAGGGTGAATTTTATTTTCATGACATGCAAATAGTTTTACACATAAACTGATCAAAACGAGTAAGGTTTAGTGGGTGACACGGTGGCTCGGTGGTTAGCACTATCACCTTACAGCAAGAAGGTCACTGGTTTGAGACCCAGAAGGGCCAGTTGGCATTTCTGTGTGGAGTTTGCATGTTCTCCCCATGTTCACATGGGTTTCCTCCGGGTGCTCTGGTGTTCCCCACAAGTACAAAGACATTAAAAGTGAATTGAGTAATCTAAATTGGCCATGTGTGTGTGAACGAGTGCATATGGGTGTATCCCAGTACTAGGTTATGGCTGGAAGGGCATTCGCTGTTTAAAGCATGTGCTGGAATTGTTGGCGGTTTACACCGCTGAGGTGACCTCTGAAATAAAGACTAAACCGAAGGAAAATGAATGAATGAATCAATGAGTGAGGTTTACTGTATAGAAAAATTAAACAGGGAAAATATTTAGGAAAACAACTTTAGAAACAAAATTGCAGAGGATGATAAGATTTATTTGATCTTATCATCCTCTGCAATTTTGTTTCTAAAAATTTTTTTTTCATTATTGGTTTCAAAAAAAGTAAACAAAGAAACTTAGAACATTAGTGTTAGGGCCGTGTGGAACCTGTTTGTTGTGGTTCTTTTTTGTGATTTGCAGAGCCTGAATGATTGCTGATATGTGGGTGGTCATCTCGCCTGAGACCCATTATGTTGTGCCTATAAAGAGTCCAACAGTTGACAAGAGAAGAGAGCTCGGTTAGCAGGACCTCCCTGCCTGGTGGTTTTTGATTTATTTTAGTTTGTTTTGGATCATGAGAGCTCAGTTCACTACCATGCACATGCTTTTCACTACTGACTGCCATTTATACTGACTTTTATTGCTTTAAATACTTTTGTTAATGCATATTTGTACATTTTTGTTATAATATAAATTAAATAAAGTAAAAAAAGAAAAAGGAAAATATGTAAGGTTATACATTGAAAGCCATGTTTTGTTTATGTTCATTAAAGACCAAATATATGACATAGTTAATTTAAAATTAGCCAGATTTGGACTTTTCCAAAAACGTACACTTGTGAATAAAATGAAAAACGTATGGATTATAATAAAAAGATGTACTGAATGCAAGATTTAGGGTTGTAATAAAAAAAATTGTAGTAATTTTGATCTTTTTTAGAAAAAAAAGACAAAAAACTGATTACTTCATTGATTGAATGCGATGACATTATTTGTACAAATGAAAATTCTGTAAAAAAAAATTAAAAAGTAAGAATTGAGACTTTACATTTTAGAATGACTTTAATTATCATTGAAGCAAATCATTTAAAGGATAAATTAAACTAAATGAGTTCATCGTAAGACAGATTTTTTTTTATTTATTTATTTATTTTTGGAAAATAGAGACAGAAAAAAAAGATCTTAATATGCTATACAATTCTGTCTGAAGTAATTTGATCATTAGGAGTGTTCCGATCGATTGCCCAGAAATTGGTATCAGCTAATAATCACTTTTTATGACTTGATCAGAATTCGCTTATCTTTCCGATCACATGAACCGATCGCAAGTGTTCACTTACGAGTTTACACACAGAGGAACATGCATTTTAACATCTTGCGCATTAAATATGCACTCCAAACTTTTTTCTTCATTGAGGCACGTTCAATTATTCTTTCATCATTTACGATTTTTCCAAATTGCATTGTCAGCAGTCACTTCTCTTACCAAATGTTTTATCTGTTTTATCTATTATTTTCTGTAAAGCTCCTTCTGACCATGACATGTTTAAGGGATTTTTTGCAACATTCATTCTTTTAGGAAAGAAGAGATCTCAACTTTAGTATCATACTTAGAGAGAAAATCTGCTTTATGCAATTTTAAAGTTACATAAAGCTTGAAGCATCAGAATTGGTATTGGCCGATCACCATGACAAGGAATTGGTACAAAGTATCGGCTCCAAAAAACCTGATCAGAGCATCCCTTGTGATCATTTTCAGGACACAAAAATACTAATGGTCCAAATGATTGTTATTACATTTTGAGGAAAAATGATGAATTAAGTTTTTAAAAAACAAACATAAGCATTGGGTAATATACATTCTGTCGATTGCTTTAAAATATGCATTTAATTTAAAACTACTCTAAGGAAAAAATAAATAAAAGACTGGCAAATTTGGAGATGCACATTTTGTATAATCCTAAGCTTTTTATTCATTTATATAAATCTAATCTTGTTTTAAAGATGTTTAATTTTTTTTATTGTACAGATTGACTGATTGATTGCAATGACATTTAGATTTAAATGACTTTTATAGACAAATAGCATGCATTTAGAATTTTCATTTCACGCTGACTTTAATTACCGCATTGGTAAATTGTTTTTAACATAAATGTAACTGAATGGTTTATGAAAAACATTTTAAATAGGGAAACAAAAATTAACAACAACAAAATGTATTTGTGACTTAATTTCCAAAGTAACTTAATCTTGTTCTACAGATGCTTAGATATTATTTCCAGGAAAACAAGCTGAAAAAATACTGACTGACTGATTGAGCGCAATGATTTTATTTAGATTCTTTTTTTTTGTGCAGCGTGCAACAAGAAGCATGACTGATTATATACACATTAAAAAGCAATTAAGACTGTGCATTTCCTCCAAAAAAAAAACATCATATTTTTGGAAATCTGAGAGCCACATCTTCATCCGATTCCAAGGCAGCAAAACCCGTTCACCTCTTTCGAATGCTTTGTATTCCGTTAACACACTCCCGCAACAACCCTGGCAACCCGTGTCTATGTCTGCAGACGCAAAATACCCACTCATGCCCATTTGAGCTCTCTAATGTACTCCATCCTCCTTTCTTTTTAGAACAACACATCAAGTAAAAAGAGTGCACAGAAACCAGATGATCTCTTAAGAGCTGAACTCCTGTAATCACCCCAGATTAGTTATTAAGGAAAATGCCCTCGTTGCACAAACACGCGCACAAAAGGAATCCTTTTCACATTCAAAAAGAAAGATGATGAGGGCCCCTCCATTTACTCCCCCCTCCCTTGCAAATGCAACAGGAAATAGGCCTCCATATGTGGCCTCGACTCATGTTGTGAGATGCTGGAGTGAATCATCGCCATTATCGGATAGCTGCGTGTGTATGTGATGCGCTTTCAAACACACAGACCCGATAGCTTTCCTGAGTCACTGCGCATATATGGGCAAATCAGGTCAGCACTGACTTGGAGAAGGTATAAGGTCTATGGGGACGAGGGGGTTATAGGGGTCCATGGAGTGATTATATGACAATGCTCACTTTCAGTGGCTGATCAGCAGATTTTTTTAAAATTCATCAATTTATGGAGTCAATTGAGGAAAATGGAATCTATGCAATCTAATATACATATATACACAGTGGAAATGATTCTGCCTCCTGTAAAATGTTTATAATTTTTTTTTAAATATTTAACAAATAATTTTTAAAAGATTAAATACTTTTCCATAGTATTTTCAATAATAAATATTATCATTTATTTTAGTTTGGCTGGAGCAATTTTTTTTTTTGACAAACTATTTTAAGGTCAATATTAATAGCCAGCTTATGAATTAAATTTTTTTTTTTTGGTTGTCTATAGAACAAACCACTGTCCAAAACCTTGTCTTTAAACTGCATTTTAAGCTGTATACTAGCATCTTGCAAAATAACTAGAAAAATATTATATCCTGTCATCATGGCAACGACAAAAAAAAAAAAGATTAGAAATTAGTTTGGTTAAAACTATTATGTTTAAAAGATGAGTTGAAAAAACTCGACATTTTACTGAGATTTATAGTTCTATATTCTTTACAAGAATTATAGACTCCCTCAGACTCCCACTCTATGGGCTCTATTTTAACGGTCTAGGCACAAAGTCTAAAGCGCATGGCGCAAAAGCATTAAGGGTGTATTCGAATCCACTTTTGCTAAAAATACAGTTTGCGCTCTGGCGCATGGTCTAACAGGGTTGTGCTTATTCTCTTAATGAGTGATGGGTGTGTTTTGAGCATAACGTGCATTAAGAGGCTCATCACCCATTCCCTTTAAGAGTCAGTTGCATTGCACCATGGCACATTTGCTATTACATGGCGACTTTGTAAGTGGACAAACTGAATGCTTCACTAGCGAGAAAACAGATAAACTGACCATCTGCCGCATGAGGAGCCTTCTCCATTTGGCCTCTTTACTTTCTCTTTCTTTTTACTTTTACTCTTTACTCCTTTACTTTCATAGATATGGAAAAGGTGTTGTGAGTACTCCACTGAAGACATCCATTAGCCTACATATTTAATTTAGTTTGTTAAGCGCATTTTAAGGTAAACAACATTATGGCAGTGTTACTATGATGTGGATTAAATTTATATTTGAGGTTTTAGTATTAGTTAGTTATTAAGGAAAGGAAAAACAGTTTATCTCGTTTGTATTTTTTTCCTTTTAATTCATCGGATTACATGAAAATAAGAAATATTTCCTTTGCATCAATTTTTTTTTGATGTTTACTTGTAGTACTGTATGCATGTGTCATTAATTCATTTTTTAGTAGTTTTATTTGTTTAATTTGATTTGTTGTGG